TACGACTCACAGTGCAGCTGAATAAGCTCAATATCGTGATAGGTATCGTATCGTGAGGTTCTTGCCAATACTCACCCCTAATAACCAATGGACATAATATAAACCAAATGATATCAAGAATTGGCCTTGGTTTCTGTGTTAATATTTATGTAACAAAAAAACTGGTTATATCCACTTCTCCAATGTACAGCCATCTCTCAAAAGACAACTTTTAGGGAGCAGGTAAACTATTCTTACTATTAAGATTTTTAACCCTTCCAGGAAACTGCAACCTAATTGTTACATACTGGAATCATATTATATTCTGTAGTAGCAAAATCATGTTGGAATATAAAATATTGGAGACAGTTGGTGATACAACAGATACTGTAACAAGTTATACTCTCCTGTCAATAAGCAGAGAAACACAGTTTGTACTTACTGCAGTTGGGGCTCCACAGTATGGTAAAAAAACATCATATTATTAATTTGACAGATGTATATATATGATTTGCAACTGGTGTAAGAATGATCATTTTAGCCTCAAAAACGACTTAAAATCATGTGACATTTTTATGGTTCTTTAACAAAACAAACTTGTTTTCTTAAATCTGGAGAACAAGATTTGTAGGCCAGGGTATCTCTGCAGCACTACAGTACATTATAATGTACTGACTGTCACATATTTCACCTTTATCAAAGAAATTGCGGCGTCTGCGATTTGCATATTGTAATTTCGATTAATTGTAACTGCAGTCATAAATAGCTACTGTATCTCCGGAGCAGGACTTCATTCAACCAAAACTTCATTCACACAAGGAGCAATTAAAGATTGATTTGCTGACAAATTATGGAGGGTTTTTAATAAACTCTGCATATAGTTTACGGAATTAACTACTTGGCAACCCTTTATTTTCATGAAATATCCGCTCCTGCACTACTTTGCACGGCGTTACTTGCTCACTCATGGTGATGCAGGGCCATAAGTGGAACATTAAACTTGACGTAAGTTATTTGATGTAAAGGATGTGTGACAAACTAACGAGTAACTTCCTAATATTTTAAACAGTTCTTAAAACAAGTTGCACACACTATATTCTGTTTTCTAAAACAAAAGGCCACGTTAACGTTACACTTTCAAGTTTACATGGTGGCTGGCGTGTACAAGTTTAGTGTCCGGCCAATGGTGACTGAAGGTTTGCGTCATGTACATACTTGTTTGCGATCTATGGTTTCAGATTTGCACAAAAAAAGCAAACGTTGGAGTCTTAAATGCGGTTTAATCTCTGCTGTCCGCGTGCTATGTAGCCTTCAATTTACACTGTTAGCGTTAGCTAACTTCTTGATAACCGACGGCTGTCTGCTGTAACCTTACTAAAAGCTAAACAGCTAATCAACACAGTTTGGAACACACAATAAATCGCTGTCCACACTGCCAACTATAGTTATCTGTATTGCAGCGAGAATTGCTGTAATACTGGCGAGGAAAGTATCCAGGTTAGCTAACCCGTTATCCAATTAGCTTAGCTTTACCTACATGCAACAGCAATAGCTCGACCTACTAGCCAATTTGCTAGCGCGCGCGCATCAACAGCAGTGGCAACAGAAATGAGCCTCGCGGTGATTTTGTACAAATTAAGACAAAGCTCGCGCTCTGGTTTCACACATACATCAGACCATTTAAGCACCACAACCGAGGCCCCACAGGGTCTCTGTAAACCACACAGCCGGAGGTCTCAGGTCCGATAAAGCTGGTTAGCAGTTTGCTAAAGCTACCCACACAGCCGAACTAGCTAGCAGGCTAACACCTTTGTTTTGCTTAGCTAACTCTAATTCATATCAGAAAGTGATATAAGAATATTTGGCTAACAACATTTACGCCATTTCGAACGCGTTTGTGCAGTTTCTCAGACTACTGCTGTACTGTGCCACTTACTTGGAATAAAAACGTACTCCAGCTCGGTTCCATTGCAACACTTGGCAACACAAGCTAAAATCTGCAGGAAACCTACAAGGAATCTACAACAAAGCAGCTAAACATGGCAGCTACAACTTCCTGTAACCCCCAGGGCTGAACCAAGGCCAGTGGACTTTTTTTTTTAGGACGTCTGGACTACAAGAAATATTCAGATATTACAACCGCTCCACAGAGACACTGCTGTCGGACAAAAATTTAATGTATTACTATATAAACGAAAAGCTATTCCCATACAGATAAGTATAATGAGCAACGGAAGCATGTTTTCATAAAAATAACATTATTGGCAGTAAAACAACACCATAATGATCTGATTATGTATTAAACTTTAGTACTCAGGTGATCAAATCTGTTTTAATTAGAATTACTTAGAAATATGGAACATTCTTTACATTTCGTGGATTATGAGTGGAAATTCAACAAATATAGGTTTCATTTAAAAAGGTGCAACTGACTGGATGTATAGAAGTAAAGGTATATAGGTTTCATGTTTGTTTATGAAACATTATGAAGTTCAAATATTTTTCAATAAAAAACTAGTGCCAGGATAAAATGTTTGATTTAATTTTTCATGTACATTTATCATTGCAACACTTACATTTTCTTGGGCTGCAACTTAATTGTTATTTTGATTATTCTGCTTTTTACTTTGTTGATTACGGTAATCAGTTTGTTCATAAAAGGTCAGCTTTGAATGAAATGTCAAGGCAGTAATTATAATATAAATTAGGGGGGGACACATCCCCAAATGTGCTCAAAATGCCTCTCTATTTCAGTCTCCCTATTTCATTACTTTTAAACGTATTTATAAATGGAAAGCTAGAATGTAATATGAGTGTTACCTAGGGCACCGGTTCCCAATCTGGGGGTCAGGACCCAGACTAGGGGTCTCCAAAGGTTCACAGCGGGTCGCTAGGCCTTCTTGATTTTAAGAGGTAAAAGGAAACTTACAAAATATACACATTGGGTCTACATTTCAATAATTTCATCAATAGTCACAAATCTTGGTGTAAAAATGGACTCCCAACTCACTTTTGAAGCCCATATAAATCACCTA